TCTTGGGACCCTCACATCACTTAGCGCTCAGACATTGTATGATCGCCCGGCCCCACACGTCATCGGTGGCGTGGACTTTGGATGATCTTGGACGGGACTCCGGATTATCATGGATCTGAATCCTGATGATTATCGGGTTTCCGTCATCTTGGGACTCGGACCCCGCATTATCTTGTTTGATCTCGGAAGATCCTAAAGGATCCTGGATGGCCTTGCGTGGCTTTGGATTACCTCAGGAGATCTCAGACGATCGTTGGATAAGTCTGTGAAAGACTGTGATGTTGTACGAGGGAGTTTCCCCTCTTCTTCCCCACTTTGTTGTGCCAATGAGCATTGAGCATTTGTCATTACACTTATGTTAAATACTTCGACTTGGAGAGTGCCATGAGGGCTCTCCAAGATTCAGTCTCGTTACCGAATGGACTATGCTCATGTCTGAGCCTGCTCGTATCAGAGCCCTACATCTTGCTGTCTTCTTACCTAGCCAATAGTCTTCTGTTTCTATCTACCCCTTAACAAGTCCATCAGTTCGAATCCAGCTCTTAGGTACATCGTACGGGCGCTTGTTATTATGATGCCCATAACGTTTCACACAAGAAGAGTAAAAATAGAATTTAAACTAGATTATCAAAGGTGGAGAAACAGAAGGATGAAGACAAGTGAACGATGATGGGCTGATGTAAACCTGCCACGTCATCAGTATCCGAACACATCCCTGAGATCCGCCCTGTGGACTCTTCACATCTGACCTGCAAACCTATGTCACCAGTACGTGACAGCGCTCGCGCCACCGCCCGCAACTCCCAGCGTTAACCTCAATCCAATGGTGCTAGACCTTGCCCGTGACGAGCACATGGAACTAGGACCGAGAGGGCTGTCACATGATGGGAGGAACTGGTTGTAGTGCTTGTTATCTCTTTCTTCCTCCTGCTTCTTTTCACTCTCCTTTTTCTCCTCGGTCTTGTTGTAGTCAAAGGAATTGATTTGTTTCTGATAACGGGAATTGCTAAGGACACCCCAACTTTTTGCTAATGCCACCCCATCTTAAGTAATCACACCCCAACTTCCTAACTAACTTTACCCCAGCAATTGAAGTTGATCACACGCGATTTTCATACGGTTAAGATGACTTAAATAGTATACAACTTGATTGGAATCATTATACTACCTTACAGGACCTGATTGTGTGCCCAACTTCCCCACAGTTTGAGCACATAGGCGGCGCCTTTTCCTTCCCAGTTGTAGTCTTGTTACCTTGTAGACGTGAAACACCTGAATCGCCTGATCTTTGGGCCTTGGGTATGGGTAGCTGAGGTCCGAGTAGTGGTAGATACTCTAAAGTGTCATTCGGGGAGTTATGTTCTGCTGTGACACTGCAGGTGGGTTCTGCCAGGCCTGTCCAGGCGGTGAGTCGATTCAGGTCATGTGACAGGAGGAGGAGAGACGAGGGACTTGTTTTGTTGCGCGCCTCTTTCGTTTTCTTTCGTTTTCTTTCTTTCTTCTTCCTTTCCTTAGACTAGTTATCTTGTCGAATTGGACTCTTTTTCAAGAATTGCCTACCGTCACATCTGCCCCCAAAATGGATGAATATCCGTTGAAACAGGCTGCTTTACCTTAGTAGCCGGGCGATTCGGTGGGCAAATTGAAGGCGGCGAAGGCCCGTTGTGTTAAAGGGGCAAGCGGTGTGGCTCTCTGAGCAATATCCATTGGGTCGTGCATAAAGTTGAGCCAATAAGATGAGGTTTGGTTACATAAGGTGTTGTATTAGCTAAGAAATGGGGTGTCCTTAGCAATTCCCCTGATAACCTTCATCTTACGTAACATCGTCCTTCCAGCTCGGCGACAGGTCTTAGTGTATGTCACTCTTTTTCTTTTTTTTGGTCCATCATAGAACCAGGGGCCCTCCAAGCAGCTGACAAGCTAGAGAGCTATGTCTCTGAGTCTGCCCTTCGGCGTCTCCCCCGTGTGGGCCTCGTGGGGCCATGTGCTGCCGCGCTCTAGTTTTTTTGCGAGCCTGTTCTTAGTCGTCCCGGTTTGAATTACCAGGGTGCCAGCCGCGGGGCAGAGCCGTCACGGGAAAGCGCTGCTCGGGCTACGTATCAATTTAGATCAGGTAATATATCACATAAGAGCTTTTGGAGTCAAGTATGTTTGATTGGTTTGAATGGTATAGATTGTCACGATCAAAAACAAACTAAAATTGTTGTATCATATTACGAGAATACTAGAGCTGAAGAATAAAAAGAAAGGAAGGAAAAGCGGGGCACGTCCTCAACTAAAATATCAGCCCGGCAGAATCGCAACTCTCCGCCTAGGCTTAGACCGTCACATGGATTTTATGATGGTTATGAATGATCATGATGATTAAAATTTCCCTGGGGGATTTGACTCCTTTTATCTTTTCACTTCATGTGCTGTGTTTTATTGATAATAGATTCCGCAATCATCTGTCCGGAAGCATTGATTTGCAATCGTCAGTCCGTCCGCGTCAATCTGTGAACATCAGTCCGCAGGCGTTTGTCCGTTAACATGTCGTGGTCTTTTTGGGTCATATGGATATTTTTAGATCTTACTGACCCCGTAACATTCTAGCACTTGGGGAGTAGTTGCCAAATGTAAACATAATTATTAGAGATGTCTATGTCGTGAATACAGGCAGCAGAAGTGGGTGCATATCTCGTTGAATGTAAGGAGGGGAGTCCCAAGATATTGGATGGGGTAGTGGACGACCCAATAGCAAAGGACTTAGGTCAGGTAGAAGGATGGGTGAACCGATAAGATAAGAGGATGGGTGGTAATACTGGGAGTTTGTAGCTGAAGGCAATAAGGTAGGTGATACGAATCAAGATATCTTAGTATGGGTAGAAACATCAATTGATTCTTGAGGATCTAACAAGAACCCGAAGTGTCTGGGTCTTTTATCCTCAAGCCTCTCTCACTATCTAACGTAGTACACCGGTCAAGCGGAGACGACCCAGATCAGCCCGCCCGGATAGTCCGGGGAGGCGAACCAAACACTAATACAGATAAGTGTTACGATGATGCCAGGTCCTCAAAGATAGAAGAGTGCATTTGAACTAGAATATTGAAGACAGAGAGGGAAGGGGAAGAAGGAAGAAGGGAAGTGAGAGATGGGGCCTTCACATAGATCCTCACGTCATGTGTTCTCATCCCTCCGTCTAGTTCAATGCACCTTCAAAAGCAAACAACAAAAGTAATAATAGAAAGCAAACCTGTCACACATGACAATAGGGTTCGCATGACATAAGTCGTCACATGCGTCATGACACGCTTGACAATGGGTGGAAAGCAATGACGGAGTATCGGAGACCTGTCAGGGTCTCCCGCATGCCCCAGCCAAGGCCAGTGGGCCTGGTGACAAAGAGTCAAAATACTCAAAGACAATTTCCCATCACATTGAAGTATAGTGTATGACAGTCAGTTTTGATAGCCTCATGATTTGTAGACCTACGGCATTGTAGTTTATATCACAAGACAAGATTCCTATTCTTCTACCGTCGACTTCTATTTTCATAGAAACGCAATATTATAGCTACTCTGGAGTCGAGTGTAACGAGTTAGACCCGATTCTCACTATGTATTCCGTAGTTGGCCCTGCCATAACCTTTCCCCGCGCGCTCCCGTTCCGCCACCGCCCTGCCCACTACTTCTATTGTTGTTCCTGTCACGTGCTATTGGATCTAGGACAAAGGACAAGGGTCATGTGATAGAGGAGGTGATTGTTTGTTCGTGCCTGAGGCACGTACCTGAGGAGCATAAAGGCTCCTCTCAGATAGTTGCTTTCTTTCTTTCTCTTTCTCTCTTCACCTTTAGTTTTCTGAATAACAGCACTCTTTCCACAAAAGACTTGGCTCATAACAGTTCCACTCCTTCTCTTCTACAAGCTTTTCGTTCACTGCATGTGGCCTAGTCAGTATTGAATCAATTTCCTTTGACTCTTCACAGTGAGACAGGTGTAAGGAGCCCCCATGGGCCATGCGGTGAAATTGGTTGCGTGAACAAATCGGCGCGGAGATGAGTCCCATCATCCATGGGCTTCTGTCGATCTCTTCACCCTCCCCCCACACTGAATCCGTGATTTCCCGAAGCCCTTCGACATTCATATTCTGATTCGATTTATCCAGAGCCGCTCTCTTCCTGGAGAAAGAGAACGAATTCCGTTTTCCAGTGTAAGATCTAAAAATATCAATATGCCTCTAGGAGCTTCACGAGCAGAGGAAGATGTTTGAAAGAAAGGAAAGAAGAAGTTTGGCAGAGGCCAGTTTGTTTGCTTGAAGAATATAGTGATGGATTCTGTTAAGATCCTGGATTGTGGGTATGAATTGGAAACCTGACATGACAACTAGTTTGTTACGGCATGTGGGCCTGACACCACCTGCCTAACGTAAGTCCAGGCAGGTGTCACGTGTGACAGGTTTGCTTCTATTATTACTTTGTTGTTTGCTTTTGAAGGTGCATTGAACAAGACGGAGGGATGTGCCAGGGAACACATGACGTGAGGATCTATGTCAAGGCCCCATCTCTCACTTCCCTTCTTCCTTCTTCTCCTTCCCTCTCTGTCTTCAATATTCTAGTTCAAACGCACTCTTCTATCTTTGAGGACCTGGCATCATCGTAACATAATATTGAAGACCCTCTCTACAAAGGCCTGTAGAAGCGAATCGGCATCTTGCTCCAACTGCCTTTATGAGGTCCTTACTGTAAGGTACACTCTTGGACTGGAGATCTTCCTTTTGAACGGATAGTCGGGTGAAGCCTTAGACACAAGTCTCTGTATGCCAGAGATCTGACTCCTCCGGGGTTAGTAGTAAGCTGAGCGCGAGAGGCTGCTAACACCCTTCTTTTTTCCTTTCCTGATTTTTTTTTTTTCTCTCTCCCTCCTCATCATTTCATCACCTCAGGCATAAGGTTCAAGTGCAATTATCAACCTTGCTCCCTTCTCATCTCTTTTACCCTCGATCCATCTCCCACCCATCCAAATGGATCAAATGCGAGACCGGATCCCCGAGAAATTCACCGGTTCAGCTATCAAGTACGATACGTGGGACGCCGCTATCCGTGCAAAACTCGTTATCGACGGACCAGCCATCGGAGACGAAACAGCCCAGTTTTACTACGTCTACCTCAACCTCTCCGCCTCAATCCAGGCCATGGTTCTTCCACAACTCGCGACCGCACGTAAAAACAAGACTCACGATTTCAACACTATCCTCGACCAACTCCGCCGCGTGTACGATAATCCAAACAAGATTCAAGAAGCAGGGGATCGTCTTCTTTCCGTTAAGCGGGTCGCCGATGAATCCCTCGCCGCTTACATCGCTAAATTCGACCGACTCCTCTACGAAGCTCAGGGTCAGGAATGGCCGGATGTGACAAAGATCTCAGCTTTCCGGAAAGGTCTTCAATCTTCAATCCGCAACCGCCTCTCCCAACAGCTTAATCTTCCGCGTACCTACGCCGAGTTTCTCAGGGTTGTCCAACAGCTCGCCGGTTACTCCTTCTCACACACCACTTCTTCGACCACGCCAGCCAACACCAACAACAGTGATCGAATGGATATCCATCGGCAATGTCCAGATCGGAGGTGTTAATCCTATTCAAGGAGGATTATGGCAGAGGAAGGAATGGTGGCGGTGAAGATGTTTGGGAGGAAATGTTCTTAGGAAGAATGTGGAAGAAAGATGGTGGAGTCAAGTAAGTTTGATTGTGTTGCAAGAACTTGATGATGGTAGTGATGCTAAAACTAATTCCCCTGGGGGATTTGACTCCTATTTATCTTTGCACTTCATGTGCTGTGTTTGATAATAGATTCCGCAATCGTCTGTCCGGAAGCAATAAATCGCAATCCTCAGTCCGTCCGCGTCAATCTATGAACGTTACGGTTCACTTGTGTTGTATCTTTATGTCACGTCAGTCCGCAGGCGTCTGTCCGTTAACGTGTCTTGATATTTTTAGGTCATATTGATATTTTTAGATCTTACACTCCCCCTTCCTTAATCTGTATAATCTTCACTTAGTTGATTGGTTTGTCCTGCAGCTGTGCTAACTTTGTTAGAGCTGAGAACTGAGGGAATGGTAGATTCCTTGTCAAGATGTCAGCCACTTGATATTTTGTGGGAATATAGAAGATCAGTTTGATCTTTCCTTCTGATATAGCGTTTCTTGTGAAATAATACATCAGTGGTGTGTGCTTTGTCTTTTTGTGGAATTCGGGATTTTCACTTAGTAGCTTGGCCGATAGACAATCCACTAGTATAGTTGGCACTGAGTGTGTATAACCTAGATGTAGGTTGTCATTGATGTAATTGAACATGCTCTTTAGGTAGATAGCCTCTTTTGTGGCTTCTTTTAAAGCATTGTGTTCAGCCTCGCACGTGCTTAAGGCCACACTCTTTTGTAATTGAGAGTTCCACGATATGGAGTTATTATTGTGTGATACGTTGCCTGACAGACTAAAGATATAGCCTGAGGTTGATTTATAATCATCCTTGTTCCCGGCCCAATCTGCATCGCAGTAGCCTTTGAGGGTCAAGTTGTTTCCCGAACAATCGTAGTGTAGTCCTCGGGACGGAGTACTTCTCAGGTACTTCCATATTTTCTTGAGGATGTTGAAGTGTTCCTTGTTAGGATTACTCATGAATCTGGAGCAGTCAATGACCACATATGTCATGTCTGGTCTAGTGTTTAGTACCCGGTATAGTAGTGAGCCAACTTGCTTTTGATAGCTGTTGATCTCATTTATTGAGGCATTGCCAGTGTTTTTCTGTAGCCTGACTCCTGGTTCTCCGGGGATTTTGACAGGTTTGCATTCAGTGTTGTTGATGATATCAAGTTTGTTCAGTAGTTTCTCAGTGTATTTGGACTGATTGATGTATAATTCTTTGTCTTTGATGATAATATCATTTCCTAGGAATGTGGACACTGGTCCCATTTCCTCGATTTTGATAGAAGACTTTAGCGTCGTCATGAGGTCTCTGATATATTGCTTAATCTTTATGCATGGCTAGTATATCATCCACGTGGCATATCGAGATGCAGTTTGTTTCTGTATTGATGTAGACTCCTTGGTCATATGGTAAAACCTTAAAGCCATATTTCAATAGGGCCTTGGTTAAGTATTTGTACCACAAAACCTTCGACGTTGTTTTAGACCATAGATTGTTTTTTTCAAGTGGCAGCATTTGGTAATGTCATCATATATCCCTTCGGGTAATATGGTATAGATTTCGGCGTCTATCTCGGCGTGCTCGAATGCATTTTTGACATCATATTGTAGGATGACCCATCCTTTGTTGATAGCTATTATCAATAGCATACGCCATGTTTCAGTTCTACATGTCGTAGAGAATGTTTCCAGGAAGTCTATTCCTAGTTTCTGATGGAAGCCTTGAATTACCCAGCGTTACCCATCGGGCTTTGTATCTGTAGGTCTTCTCATCATTGATGATCCATGATTCTTTGATTGTTGCCTTGTTTGATATAGGTTTTAGTTTGAATACCCATCTCCTTTTATGGGAGTGATAGCATTTTTGTTGTCTTTTGTTTTGGGGATATCAATAACGTCATAGGTGTTTTGTTTTTCGAGTTCTTCTTTGCATGCTCTTATCCAGAGTTCTTTGTCTTTTGATTTCATGGCTTGTTTCCACCCACTCGGTTCAATTAATATGGTAGCAGCGAGAATGAAGTTTTTGTTTTGATTGTTAGGATCATTTTGATCTGGTTTTGTATTGTATTCACCTATCCGTGATATCATGTTTCTTAGCTCTGTGTCTTGAGCTGTGTAGAGTATATTCATTTCTTTGTATGGGATTTGCACTTCGATTTTGTATGGCCTTTGAGTAGATAGTGCGGTTGATAGCTCTATGTTGGCTTCACCGTCTTTCTCGTCGTTTGACGCGTCAAAGTTGTAGAATTCGTTTCCACATACAGTGACATCTCGGGCCCATACTGTCTTCTTTCTTTTGAAGTCCCACAGTTTGTAGTTTGTGACGTCATTGTATCCAATTAGGATGGCTTCTTGTTTTCCTGGTTCAAGTTTTGTTTTGTATTTGTTGTCATGATAATATGCAAGTGATCCCCATGTTTTGATGTTTTTGATGAATGGTTTTATATTGTTGTATGTTTCATATGGTGTCTTGTAACTTAGCGCTTTATGCGGTGTTATATTGTATAGGTATGTAGCTGCTTTTGAAGCTTCTCCCCACAGGTAGTACGGGGCATCTGAGCTGATCAACAAGGCTCGTACTTTGTTCATCAAAGTCAAGTTGATTCTTTCGATCAGACCATTGGGTTCTTTTGTGTATGTTGGGCTAAGTCTATGCTCAATCCCGTATTTGGTTAAAGCCATTTTGAACTTTTTGTTGACGTATTCTTTCCCATTGTCGGTAGAGAACTCTTTGATATGTCCATTGGTATTGTTTTCAATTTGAGCTTTCAATTTCTCGAAGCAATCATAGGCTTGTTCCTTTCTGCGAAGTAGGAATATCCATATAAATCTAGACTTTTTGTCCAGGAATGTGATGTAATAAGTATGGTTATCATAGGTTCTAGACAATGGCCCTCCTAGATCACTATGTATTCTTTCAATCTTTTGGAATATTTTGTTATGTTGACTGGTTTTGTTTATATGCCTGTTGTTCTTTGCAAGCAGGCATACTTTGCAGTGCATAATCGCGTTCATGTATTTTTCTTTTGATAGATCAATATTGATAGTTTTTAGTATAGCTTTCGTTCATATGATATATGCCCTAGTTGTTTTCCACCCTTTTTGTCAATAGGACGTTTTTATTCTTGTCTTTGTCTGGGATAAGCAGACTTTTTTGTATAGATTGTCTTTCTTGAATGCATGTGATATGAGTGTTTTCTTTGTGTATGATGGCGTCCTTTTCATTGAAAATTGCCTTTATACCATTTTTCAGTAGTTTGTTAACACTCAAGAGATTGACTCCCAATTCTGGGATGTAGTAGACATCATTGATGAAGAATTGCATGTTTGTATTTCTTTTGACATAGATTTTGCCTTCGTATTTTGTTTTTAGATCTTTTGCTTCGCCCCAACTAACGTTTGTTTTTGTGGGTTCATACGAATGGAAGAGTTTCAAATCGCAAATTGTATGAATTGTAGCAGCAGTATCAAGTATAAAATCAAACTTATTAAACACTAAATCTCCCGAACGCATTGACCATTTCTTGAACGCTCTGACGTATTCAAATCTGATTTATGTTTGTAAGTATGATGTTCATCAATGTTTTTGGTTTTATTGAAAAGTGGAAGGCATACCTCTTTCAGCAGGTCGTCATCAGACAACTCAGCTGCGTCAGTGATGATAGTATCCTCATCCATTGGTGTTGTATCAATTTCAATGTCATCCTCTTTCAAGAGGGTGATCATGGCACTTTGTTTGTTTGGGAAGACTTTGGTAGTCTTCTTTGTTGTTGGGGGATTTTCAGCCTTGTATGTTTTGCTTGGAGTTGTAGTTGGAGTTGGGGCTGGTGCCATTCGGCGAGCTTGCCAACCTTCCGGGGCTTTGTCTGGGAATAGGTACCAGCCCTTTGTGGTATAATGTTAGGGGTGACTGTTTACAGGACAGGAGGCCTGTCAACTAGGTAAGAAGAAAATCGATGTAAAGAAGAAGAAGACTTTGATAGATTCGACAGTAGAACAGAGACTGATTCTTGGAGAGCTCAAATGGTCCTCTCCAAGCCGAAGTATTTAACAACAAACAAACAGATAACTCCATGTCAAACACAATGACAACGAGGAGGGAATTCCCTCATACAATATGATAATCCCTCATAGACAATCTGACAATCTTCCAAATGACACGCTGATCAACCGAAGATCGGATGTGATAAAGAAAGACAATGCGGGGTACAACCCTTAAGCTGACGAGAGCCCGATGATCGGCAGGATTCAGATCCATGGTCCTCCGGAGTCGCAACGGAGATCGGGGTCCACGTCTCCGATGATGTGTGGGGCTGGGCGCTCAGACAAGGTCTGAGCGCTAAATGACGTGGGAGTCCCAATAACGTGGATCCTGGTTGCTTCGGCCACCCGGATATTCCGGCAGGAACTTAAAAACTTCAAATTTCCTACCCTTTTAAACGCCAATTAAACAACCAGAAAACCATAAATTTCACTAAACTAAGTTTTGGGGCTTGCTAAAGGAATGCCCTTTTTTATGACACCCAAACAGATGATTTGCCGCGGCATAGGGGGTAAAAGATGGAGGTTCAAAATAGGGTTCTAGAGCGGATCTAGGACGAGATATATATCTTACACTTGCAACTTCCTCACCACCAACATTGGTAGTAGGACCCTAAAGCTCGGTTAAACCGCCTCTATTGGGTATTTGCTTCATTGATTTGTCCCTCTTTATTGCCTCCTTTCTATTCCATTCCCATAAATGCTCGATTTCATCCCGCATCAAGATCCGCTCATCAACTAACTTGACCGACAATATTCACCCATTTGCGACTGCCATCCTGCAAAACATCCTTCCGACCGGTACAGAATGACTGTGTAATGTCCTTTGTCATTGCAATAACTCCCATTGCAAACCCTGGTTCGTGTGACAGTAGGCTATTCTTG